AGATAGACACTGATCACCATATACTTCTGTCAACAAATTGTAAGTTTCAGTGGCAGATTTTCCAAGTTTTGTGAGGAATTTGATGTTAGCACGTTGTTCTGCATTAGCACTCAGCATTATTCCGACGGAGCTCAGAAACACGATCCGCTTCTAACAATGGTCGCGGCCAGACTAACCGATGCACGTGAATGAAACTTTGTGTGACGGTAGAGGGAAGTCCAAGGGTCAATGCCCTACCCTCCTCTTCGTCAATGACGTGGCCGGAAATGAGTCATAAAAGTAATCCAGGTTCTTTATTGCCACACCTTGTATGTTCCTCCAAAACACTGATAAACTTCTAGCAGATAACATGATGCCACATCCTGGGAGATGGCACAGTTCACAGTCGATGCTGTGAGGGACTCAAATCCCAAACACAGCACAGAATTAAAAAAGAAAATGAAACATAAAGTAAATGCCTAGGGTCAATAATCAAACTGATTAATCAATCCTTGATTTAGTACATGCCTTGGAAGATTAGATGTGCAAAGTTTGTAGGACTCTCCTGCAAGCCATTGTTGATCATCTGCATCTACACTGCCTAGCCATCTCACTATCAGCAGCAACACATCCGCGTTCTGGAACAGCAAAGTGAAGGCTGAAAACACAATCAAGTTGTGATCTTTTGCAGTCTCCTAGGTGGGTACTGCTCTCTCAGACAAACCTGTTGCTCTGTGTTCAGGGTGCAAGTGAATACAGAGGCTGCAATTTCCCTCCAAAATGTTGGTAAACACCAGAAAACCCAGAGTTTTCTCGTCAACTAACTTCATGGAGCTGAGGCCTTCGTAAGAAGAATCCAATTGTGTAGCTACTCATGAACATCCCAGCATTTTGTGGAACCCAAAGGTTCATTACCTTGTTCACATGAACCCTCCAATGGTCCCTATCCTGAGGCAGATCAATCCATTCTATACCACCCCATTCTATCTCTCTAAGATCTATTTTAATATTATCCACCCATCTATGTCTTGGTCTTCCCTCTAGAAGTCTCTTTCCTTCTGGTTTTCCATTCAAAATCCTATATATATATTTTTTTTTCTTCGCTACATTTGTGCTACATGCCCTACCCATCACATCATAATTGACTTGACCATTCTAGTTATAATGAATATAATTCTAATTATACTTGGGGAAGGTGCCTCCTAAATACAGACCTGAAGATTTAGCACTTGAGCCAACTTGCTCTGTGTTTATAACAGAGAGAACTGCAATATAAAGTTATGCACATCAGCATTCTGAGAATATCAATGGCCGATCAGAATAAACACAGACCACAGTAAAATAAAAACTAATATTGGTAACAACTACAAGGGCAAAAGAAAGGCCAAAGTTTTCCAAGTTCTTGATTAAGCACCACACCATGCCGGCATATATATAGGAGAGTGGAGTCGTCAGTACTAGATGGAGGTGAATGTCGGCTTCATGGCCCAGCCACTTTGCCTCCCAGAGAAAGAACCCTGGTACCCACTGGATGAGAGGCTGGGTGAGCCCCACAGCCAGTCTGGACATGATGGTGAAGATAAATATCTTTGGCTCTGTTGGGAATTGAACCCCAATTCTCCATTCAATCATCCAAATCCTTAAATGAATGAGTCATGTTGGCTCTAATGCCTGCTGAGGTCATTCAATAAGCAATCAGAATGACCTTGAGTCCATAATTTTCTTCCTCACCTGGCACAGACTCATTTTACTGAAATATTATATTAGAATTCCATCAGTATACCAATTTACCGTGGCTGTTATCACACATGACACGGCCGGACCTGCAAACTTCTGACACTAAAGCTGCTAGCTGACTACCTTGAGCTTGCTCTGTTCAGATGGTTCCTCCTCAGCTGCCATGGTAAGCAATGCATGAAGCAGCCCCTTTGACGGTGGGCCAATACTTCTGAGAGCTGCGAAGAGCCGCTCATACCCAGAAGTTCGCACGAGTTTTTCCTGCAAGTACCAATATACATATGGAGTCTCCATGGAACGTTCAACAGACAGACCTCCTGCGTCACGCTCACTCTAACACTATGAAAATAAGGACCCAAATCAATCCACTGGAATGTTTAATCCTGAGCCACTTCAGCCCAAGTCACATTACTAAAACCAATTTCCTTAAAATATGCATCACTGTTATCTTCTTGGTCTTCCAAGTGGCTTCTTCATCATAATTCTTCACATGTTTCTTGTCTGTTTAGTTGGTTATTTAATAATGCTGTCAATATCGAGACTATACAGCGGTGATGACAGGATTATTAGTGAATGTGGGGCAATTAATGCATTCAGAATTGATGGAGGAAGCTAAGTACTCAGACAAAAACCTACATCTGTGCTATTTTCTCCATCACAAATCAGTGATGACCTGACCTGGGATGGAATCTGTGTTGCCACAGTGGGAAACCAATGACTAATTCTTACTGTTACTATCGCTGTTACTTTATTATTAGTAACTATTCTTATTCCTGCTTACCAGTAATAGTATTGTTACTATGTTTCCTGTTGTTACAATGGATAGCACATTTCAGAAATGGCACTAGTGTCATTCTTGCCTCACAGGTGTGTGCATGTGCCATGTCATTATTACAACCACAGGAAATTAAAAATTACAACCTCAAGCCAGCCTCTTATGGCATGATGCTCAGATGAAATTTAACCAGAATTCATCCAGCACTTCTTTATTTCAAACATGCTGATGAACATATGGACATGACCTCCATTACATGCATTCCTTTTAGGTATACAGTTCATGGTACACATAAGAGACTTACCCAGTGCTTGAAGTGGAATGAAAATAGAACCGGGATAGTTTTCCCCTTTTAATTCACAGACATAACTGCACATTGCATTTACTGCCAAAGAAGTAACGGGATGCTTTTAAGCCATTTAGAAAAGAACCAGGATGCCATCCCGCCGCATCCCGCCCCACCTCAAGCCCTGGACTTACCTTTCCATCAGATGAGCCAACCAACATTGATGTCAAAGCCTTGACACATTCGGATGCCAAGATTTGTCTCTCAAACGTAAATCTCTGCAAAGAACAACAGTCATCTTAATTCAACATACGTAATTTTATTACAAGAGTAGATGGGAGAATAATACTGAAATGGATCTTAGGATGGGAGTGTATTGTATTTGTATTTATTGTAAGTTCAAGAGATCCAAAGATGGATATAGAACATGCCATAAAATAATATAGAGCACAGAAAACATACATAGTTATTACACAACTAGACAGTACAGTGAATACAACAATAATAAAAGTTATCTATTTAGATATTCATCCACAGTATAAAATGTATGAATGTTCAAGAAATGCCTTAATACAACCTTAAACTTTTTAAAATTATAAGATGTGTCTTTGATCTCTACGGGCAATTTATTAAATATTTTTATACCTGCATAATAAACTCCTTTTTGATAAACAGTTAAATTAGCTTGAGGTAGATACAAATTTTTTCTTTGTCTAGTATCAATAGTATGAGAATCAATGCTTTATGAAAAAGGAACTTTACTTTGCAATACAAATACTAACAACGAAAATATATATTGTAATGCAAGTGATAAAATATTTAACTCTTTAAATATGTTTCTACACGAAACTCTATTGCCGTATACCAACATTGCTCTGATAGCCTTTTTTTTTTGGAGGGGTGGGAGAAGAAAAATAGATGAACTATGAGATGAGTTTCCCCAAAAGATGATAACATAGCTCATTAAGGAGTGAAAAAAGGAATAGATTACCTTTAGAGCTGAAATAGACATATAATATTTCATATTTATAATTATGTAACAAGCCTTACTTAATTTTTTTACAAGTAAATCAATATGATTCCTCCATACTAAGGCACTACCAACTATAACTCCCAAGAATTTAGTACTGAGGGTACTGTTGATAAACTTATTAATTATTATCATCATTTATTGCAAAAGTGTCTGACATTACTGTCTTAGTTTTAAATTGAATACAAAGCAGACTCATCTGGCTCAGGATAGGATTGATGGTGGGACCTTCAGACCATCACAATGGATCTTCAGATGGAAAAATTACATGATGAAAATTTCTTGAATAACTGAGCAACTACTAGCTTCTCAGGAAGAACTCAACCTGACAGAGTTAGGTGGTTAGCTGTGTAACTTATGTGATACATTACTTACATATCTACACATATTTAAAATGCAGCTGAATATTCTGACCCCTGGAACCTACACCTAGGATAATCCTTAAGATCTGTACCTCGAGGTTATAAATTCTGTGCACTGATAACATGGTGTGTCTGAACTATAATGGCTGCAGTTTTCATGAACAGACAGTACCACAAAGTTCCAGGCACTCACCGTGCTCTCCTCGATAATTGTGATGACTGTGTCCAGTACATGATTATCCACCATCACCCCTTGGATCTGTTCGCGTGTCCAAGAGTCAGTCAGGAGGGAACGCAATGCAATCACCATCTCACACAGAGTCTGTGATGACTTCTCATGCCATTCATTCATGACAAGTTCAATCAGTAAATCCTGGTACAGCTGGATGATGGTTCCAACTTCAATTTGCCTCTGCCAAACAATCAGACTGAGTAAACACAACAGATAATCCTGACACATTCAGTGTTCACAGCCTGTCAGCCTCTCTTCATATACATGTTCACTGCCTCACAGAGAACCATGGAACAGGGGTACAGAGGTAAGGTAAGGTACAGTAAAGGTAAAGCTGTCCATGTGCTTAACTAGTTAAGCACTACACCATGAAGGTGCATGGGGGAGTGGATGTATAGATACATGTCTTCTTGACCTCGGCACGAGTTGGAGGTGAGTGGTCAGCTTCACGACCTAGCCACTTTACCCCTGGGGAAAGAACCTTTGGTACCCACTGGATACAAGGCTGGGTGGTCCCCACAGCCAGTCTGGATGTGGAAAAGGGAAAATTCTTGACCCTACCAGGACTCAAACTCTGACCCCTCGGTCTTCCAGCCCATAGCCAGTCGCTATACAGACTACACTATGAATGTCCAGGGGTACAGAGGCACAAGTTGTAAAATTATTTTATTTACTTGTAGTTTATCTAATGACACTGTCAGTATCTCCAACTGAAACAAGTGCTTCGATGATGATTAAAAATGATTTGGAAGAGATACAGGTATGTAAGGAAGCAGTTGTACCTTCATTACAGGTTCTGTAGTGACATTCATTTGAAGGGACTGAGGAAAACTGAAAAACTCAAGTCAGGATAGTTGGTGTCCTAGCCAAAGTTCAAACCATACATCTCCTGAATACATGTCAGATGTATTACCACTTGAGTCAACTTGCATGGCGCAGTTTTCTCATTGGTATACTGCACTTCATACTACTGGGTTTCTGGGCTCTATCATCAAGTATTCCAAAGAGAACACGAACACAACGACTGAACAGAACATGGCAGTAGTAACGCTCTAGACCTGCATTCAGAAGGTGCTTAGCTCAAATCTCAGATGAGACAATGGCTAAACTGACTGAGACTTACATGGTTTTCCTCAGCTTTCTCCAGGAACATGATGGTATACCACCTTGATTTAGCCACAAATGCTTCCTTCTAAAGCTTCTCCACTGCCATATTCATCAGTCATCCCATCGCTCAACACTTTACAGACTGAGATACTGATAAAATTGTACAATGTAACGCCGTGGCGGCAGGGGGGGCGTGGAGGGATCCCTCGCCGCCACCACGTGTAACATCCCTGCGACAGGGGTGGATTGGTTGTCTCACCGCTGTCGCCACTTGTAACGCCGTGGTGCAGGGGGGCGTGCAGGTACCCCTCCTGACCACCACAGCTTACGCTGTAAGGAGTTAACACAATAATCCTAGCTTACCCTCAGCTAGGATTCTCCAGTTTCGGGGCTCCCTTCTCTCACTTAAAGCTGCCACCATTTGTCTTCTCTATTGTGGGAACTACCCCCTGACATATAGTCATAGCTCCTTCTTGACAACTCCTCATATAGTTTACAGGTAGCCACGTGTTACATTATTAATACATCTTAAGGGGCGTTGGTATCAAGGCTACTAACTCCTGCCTGTGTGGCAGGTGCCTACCCCTGTCCATTCCTAGTACCTCCCCTTAAGCATTCAGCTGCTGTTGCAACTCTCATTTTGGGTAGGATCTGCTGGATGGGTCGTGGAAAGGTGATTATGGAGGGTGAATCACAATTCCCTGCGTACATCCTATCCTATCTCCTCTATCTATTTACACTCTTATATTTACATGATTTACAATATTTACATTATTAACAAGGCCGACTTTCAGTCGGGACTACATAGTGAATTGACTTGCAGCTACGCTAGGAACCTCCCCTTCGGGGGTGTAAACAGAAGTATCTCTCTCTCTTCGACTACAGGCAAGTATTAATCGTTCCATGGGATCCTGTTTCCCTACTATTCATTAAATATGATTACACTATCCTTCGTCAAGTTTCACTCTTAACATAATCTACCCTTAGTTCTACATATTGAAACCCACATATTATATTTATCACTACACGCTATCATAACCTTAACACATACACTATAAAACCCTTATTGCCTGACTAACATCCTAGGCAATCATATGTCACATGATTCTAGTATCCTCCCCCAAGGGCTCGCCGGGCACACTGGAGTTTGCACATTGAAATCACTCAACAACACCTTTATCAACAATAATATTTAACAACATGGCTGATATGCGTAAAGAAACTTACTTGTAGTACAAGATGCAGGCCCACTGCCTCCGCTCATAAGGCCCATGTTGAAGAGAGCCTTCAGCTGACAACTCAATATTCTGTGTTAGATCAGATCCCTAGTCCCTCGAAATTCAGTAATTTATAGTTTTGATTTGCTAATTCAGCTGTTGACGACAGGGGGTAGTTAACTCCTCCCTAGTGTCCTCAATTCCCAAAGTTATATTCTCATTGGATATTCTATGTGGCTGGGGGTGGACCCACGGTATCTTATTGCTGCGTATTTACTCATATGACCATCTCCAGTGGCCTAGTTAGCGGAGCGTCTTACTTACGCTATTACACATGAATGCTGATCATCACATTCTTAACCTAGTTCCTGCCCAGGTGTTGACATATTAATGTAAAGCTGTAAAACACTTTTCGCAAGTCTCAAACATTTAGGTAATGCCTTACAATTTCCAATCTCAAATTTGAGCCACTACATACAAAAACCGCAAACTGGATCTGCTTGTTATTGGGAAAAAACGTGGGGAGAAGCCTACTTACATGTAATTGGGTCAATCAGAAAATCTGATCTCATCACTGAACCATACAAAAAAAAAAAAAACTCCGTGACCTATAATCCACAAGTGAACTACACCGACCGAGTGACCGCCACTTGTTGGTGAGGTTAGTGCCAACTTTTGCGGATAGAAGGTATCATGTGGTCAGCACAACGAATCCCCACAGCTGATAATCTCGGTTTTCTAGACCGGAGCTGCTATTTCCTTAAAAGAGCTCCTCCATTATCCTCATGAGGCTGAGTGGACCATGTTCCAGACCCACCACTTCTCAGAAAATCTGGTGGTGACGGGAATCGAACCCGGGACCTCTGGATCTGTAGGCAGGAACTCTGACCACTGATGCCTCGACATCTCCTTCACACTCTTATGCTTCCACCCCCAGCGCACTTCCCTATATTCCCCTCCAGCTCTCTAGCCATTCCGTGCACACTAATGCTGGCAGTGACAACCTTCACTATGGATGTGAGAGAAGGCTGAATGTAAGCAGAGGGTGGGATGCTTCAAGCACCATCCCCTCCCCCATCACCCATCTGTGGCCTCAGAGGGCTCAGAGGAGACATGAATACTAACCTGGTCAGGCGAGGACTTGTTGAGCACTTGAATCATCATAACAAAACACTGAATGGCAGTGCATCGTACATCTGTGTTTGCTTTTGAGTGTGATATAATACCCATAATAATATTCACTGTAGCAGGACAAATAGCACGTAGCGCATTGTGCTGAAAAAATAAAACACTATTTGTAAAGCTATATAACATTATTCAACCTCTGAGAGAATACTGGCAGCTATATGTACCGCTTGGTAAGATTTGAGGTTTTCACGGCAGTGACTATGAAGAAAACAGTCTTCTGGGATGTGGCACCGTCTAGATATTGTGTTAACCGATGTTTCGGAGGAATGTATCACCTCCACCTTCAGGATAGAAGAAAAAAGAAGAAACCCATGAGGGGAGAACCAGCGTGAGCAGATGATAACAGACTATGTCCAGTTGAGTAAACCCAGCTGTATAAGAGCAGGAAGGGAAAGGAACACCCTCCAATTAACACTGACTTTCTCCCCATGACACATACGCTATACCTGCTTTGGCCTGCTACCTGTTGGCCCACCTCCCCAGACCATTCCGTTCTCCTCTCTACTGACTTCCCATGTAGCCCCTCTCCCTTCTCTTCCTGTTTTTATACAGCTGGGTTTACTCGACTTGACTCAGTCTGTTGCACCTGCTCATGCTGGTTCTCCGCTTGCAGATTTCTTCTTTTTTCTTCAACCCTGAAGATAGAGGCGATACGTTCCTCCGAAACATCGATTAACACCTTTCTACATGGTGCCACATCCCAGAAGACTGCTTTCTTCATATGTACATATGTATATGAAGTCTGCATTTTGCCCAGAGAATGTATAAGCTATGTCTAAGCTCATAGATATGTGGTTCATATAATTCTGACATTAAACAGTAATTATTTCCCTGAATGGCAACAATCAAATGTTCTCTGTAATGGAGACAAAGTATGTTTACTGTAAGGTAAGAACTGAATTTTTAAATACAATTTACAGGATTTCATACCTCAAATGTTAAGGTTCAAGCAAAGTTTCAATTGGGCTATATACTAAATGCTTATATGATATAAGATTTAGCAAAGAACACAAGAACTTTTTTCTAATGAATCACCATTCCAGGATAATCCATTCTGTATGCTGTACCAGACCATCACTGTTTCCTGTATAAGATTTAAACAGTTGACATACCATTGCCTTTGGCAAACAGCCAACAGAGCAAGTTGGCTGCCTTGTAAATTTCTGCTAGCCTTTGCCAGCAGTCATTCTTGGTTCCGGTCCCACATGGACTCATAACCATATTCTTCTGCCTCATGATTCTGAGAGTCATGCAACCACTTTGGGGAGGGGGACTATTATATGTAAAATATGGGACCTGGCAAGCCATCTCCTTGATTCCTATTGGCTCTTTACAGTGCACCAACAGGAGACAACAAAAAAGTGACATGCTGGGCCTTGAAAAGGGCTGCTAGTGCAAACATGGGAACATGAGGGAGAGAAGTCCAAATGTGTAGGGTGGGCACACTGCCCATATCAGGGCACCGGACAATCATCAACCCAGAGTCTTGTTTTTCTTTACTGCCCTCTTCCTTCATACTTGCTCCAATCATCTCCCATCGCATGCGGCATTCCTCCCAGCCACCTCAGTGCTCTGCCTACCGCAGACGCTCACACCTTCCGTCTCCCACGATCCCATGTCTGCATTTGCAGATATTTTCAGGACCAAGCAGGTCATTCTTCTGTCATCTCCTATTGGTGCACTCTCTTTCTCTAGACAGCCAATGGGAAATGAGGGCGTGGCTAGCCACATCTCCCCTGCGGCTTGCTCTGGCAGCTGGCATTCGCAGAGCCATGTGACATTATATCACAGCAGATGGAAACTTTCTAGATTTATCTAGTTCATCAAAACGTGAAAACTCAAATCTTACAGTTTTATGAATAATTAATTCAGTGGTTTCCTAACTGTGAGGCAAGCCCAACTGCAGGGTGAATAAGATCCTTTTAAAAAAAGGGACAATTGATAATGTACAAAACGTCAATAACTGAACTGTACCCCCCAGAGGGGCTGGTTAGAGGAAGGATACTGGTTATTCAGGGCAAATTTATGTACTAAAACTGAACCGATTACAAGTCTCAAAATGTCTTATCATTTGTAAAATTTTGATAAATATTAACTGATAAGAACCTAAAATATATTGCTTTTAAAAATTAGATGTGGAAAAACTGCCCTCTATATACACAAAGTCAAAAGGGGAGTGGACACAATGAAATCTTCACTAAGCTGAGGGGACAACATTAAATAAAATTTATAAATGACTGAATTAAATGAAGATCATATATTGCTGCAAAACATGAGCACAACTCTACAAACTGAAAGGAATGATATCTCATGACCCCTTCTAGCACAAAATTCCAGCATCTGTATGGAATATCAAATTACAGGTACAGTCAATAGGGCATGGCATCTGTCTTATGTTAAATGCTCTGTCTCTTTGATTCTCTTCAATATTAAAGGTTAGTACAGCTAGCGCCATTCTTTAACAGCTCAATATTTTCATGCTTCATATATGTTTAAACAACCATAATGCATATATCAGATATACTTTTGTAGTCTGCGCTATAAGGCTATGAAGCAACCAACAAACAGATCTGGTCAATAGGCAAAGAACTTTCAGAGGAAACTGTCACTTATAATTACTGTAGCACAGTCCATCAGAAGATGACTGACGGACTTACTTCATGGAGCTGAGTCCTTTTTGAAATGCCAACAATTCTGCAGCTACTCAAAATTTTCCACACTTTATGAAACCCAAATGTTCATCACCATGTTCACAAGAGCCTTCCACTGGTACCTATCCTGAGCCAGATTGATCTGGTCCATATCACCCCATCCTATCTAAGGTACATTTTCACATTATCCACCCACCTATGTCTCGGTCTTCCTAGTGGTCTCTTTCCTTCTGGCTTTCTAACTAATATCCTATACGCATTTCTCTTCTCCCCATTCATGCTACATGTTCGTCCATCTCATCTTCCTTGACTTCATCATTCTAATTATACTTGGTGAAGAGTATAAGTTATGAAGCTCCTCACTGTGCAGTTTTCTCCAATCTCCTGTCACTTCATCTCTCTTCGGTCCAAATATTCTCCTCAACACCCTGTTCTCAAACACCCCCAGTCTATTTTCCTCCATTAATGTAAGAGACCAAGTTTCACACCATACAGAGCCACAGGCAAAATTATAGTTTTGTATAATATAATTTTTACGTTTTTAGACAGCAGACGAGAAGACAGAAGGTTCTGGATTGAATGGTAGCAAGCATTACCCAAATTCAATCTCCACTTAATTTCCTCCTAAATCAAGTTTTGATTTGTTGCTGTCATTCCCAAATATCTGAACTGTGCCATATTTTCAAAACAATCTTTATGTCATTCTGGTGATGAGATAGCAACATATATTTACTTTTCTCCTTGCTAGCATCAATTAAAGTTTCTGTCTTTCTTTATGGTATCTATGCTGTCACCCAGTAGATTCACATCATCAGCACAGACAAGCAGCTGATGTGTCCCATATCAAAAGTTGACAGGGAAAACAATTAATTTCTTTCTTACTTTCATTTATCACCTGTATCTCCTGTCCTCCTTTACCCCATACTGCTTCCCCAGCTCTCTTACTTGTCCCCCTTATCACAATTCCTCTGTTTGTATTCTAGCAACAGAAATATATAGCTTAGCCTTTCCCTAATCACAACATTGTTGCTATCAGGCATGACACAAGTTTACTATTATTGAAATGTAGGCATTTCTGTTTTGTTTACTTGAAAGTACTGTGTACACTGCACAGGTTATGTCATTTGGAATGAGAAATGACAGAGGATGAAACTTATTTATGCACTACATGGCAAATTTTGAGGTACCAACCCAAAATGAAAAAAGAAATAACATATTTTGGCCAGAACATGCAGTTCTGCTACACACTACACTGCGTGTCTGCTTCATTATGATTTTCTCTGAAAGTTTCAGTGCTTTATGGTGTCACTGTACATCAATTACAAGTCTACACACAGCCACAGCAGTAACACATGCTAAAATCTCAAATGAGTAAGAGCTAGAACTTGAAAGGAGTTGACTGTTTCCTACTATGAACAAAAGTCCTACAACAGGCAAGCCACAGACATCCTACAGATACAATGGATGTATCTTGCAGCCAAGGCTGAGGGTGAAGGATTGCAGGTGTTTTGGGGCAAATTAAATTCTCTACAAAATGCAGACAAATGGCTCCCAATCTTGTTTAGCTGCAATACTAAATCAGCCACCAAAAAAGATCTCTTATGCTCAGATTCCATGAAAGTTTATGGCACATCTTAGTGAACTACTCATCAGTCCTGTGGCTGTGTGGAAACAGCTCCATTAAATCAATGGTTCACTAAGACATGACACAGAACTCATGGAAAATAAGTCTTAACTTTTCAGGCACTACATTAGATATGATTCTCATAATAATAATAATAATAATAATAATAATAATAATAATAATAATAATAATAAAAAATAATCTTCAGATCACATTATTCTGAGATGTAACATTACCTAGTCTGCTAGATAGGTACCAGATTATTCAAAGAACCTGCTAACTCCATCTTCAGGGTAGAGATGGAGACAGTTACGTTCCTCTGTAACGTCAATACCTACCTACAGACTACATGGCACCAAGACCTTACAGGCAATGTTAAACATCAGACAACAGAACAGAATCCTTCTGAAGGCCCACGCAACTCTATCTGCAATACAACCTGAGGATGGGAGCCAAAAGAACACAGAGAATCCTCTTGAGGTGCCTGCCACAACGCATTTGCGAAGGGTTTAACAGTCTAGAGCAGGGCTTTCTACACACTAGGAAAATATCCTTCCATTCCACAAAATGTGCTGAAGCTTTCTTCTTCTTAAAGAAATAAATTTAGATGCGAGAACTTTACGGAAGACATTTACTAAATATTTGCATAAATTTGCAATTATTTTCAAAATACCCAATGAACAATTTAGAAAAGTACAAAATTAGTATTACGACTCCAAAATTGTATGAAATATTGATATAACCTTGCAAACCATTAGCAGCTGATGTCCAAATACTATCAGCCTGGCAACATTCAAGTACAAAAAATTTCCCAGTAACTCTGTGAGTACAATGAGGAACTAGGATAGTTCAGTCAGTATAGCAATGGGCTGAAAGGCTGGGTTTCATTTCCAACAGTGCAAGTTTTTTCTCTTCTCCACAGCATCCAGACCAGCTCTGAAGTCCACCCAGCCTCCTGTCCAATGGGTACCAAGGGCTCTTTCACTGGGGGTAAAGCTGACCACACATCTCCAACCAGTGGTGGGATAAAGAGCGATGGAGCTATATCTCCACTCCCCAATACATCTACATGGTACAGTGCTTAATTAATTAAGCACAGGGACAAGTTTACCTTTACTTTCATGGGTACAATTCTTACCCATGGGCTCATACTTTAGAGCTCTGAACATAGCAGGGCACACATCTGTATCAGTATACGGGAAAACTATATCTTATTTTTGTAATGCATCCCACATAAGGGACAATGCTACTCCTGAGTTACCTGAAGTTGGACAGCTCTGCTATACAGGAAACAGCAAATGGCTGCAACAGTGCTGCCACCATTTTGTGGAATGTATTCTCACAACCCAGAGAATCAAATACTGCATATAGTTGTGTTATTTAAGGATATTCTGGCAGTAGCTTATATGGGAGGTGAGCCTTAGTCTCTTCAGTTACAATAAAAACGAACATTCAAACCAAATTGAATACAAGCATGCATTTTAAACACTCACCCCTTCATTCAAGCAATGAGCTGAATTACCTAGGCTTTCTCTTCGATCATCTAAACTGAGAGGTTTAAAGCTTAATATCATACTCTGAAAAATTTGAAATGTCAAGAAGTAAGATGTATGTACAGACATGTAAGTCAGAACACAAATGTGTGCCATGTATTCCAACAGGAACCATGAGTTGAAAAAACATACAGCATATCGTATTATCCCTTAACAACTTCTCTCTGCTTGAATCCATAACATTTATTTCCATTTTGGAAATATTAACACTCAATTGTGTGTTAGACATATCAGTATTCCTTTGTGTGCTGTGAACTCCAACAATCTTTTCTGCATAATACCCTTCTGTGTGTTTCAAACTCTAATACTCCTTTGTGTGTGTGGAGGCACTAATACTCATTTGTGTATTGAAAACACTAACAATCCTTTCTGCTGAAAACTCTTAATATTCCTTTCTGTGTTAACACTTATACTCTTCTGTGGGCTGGAAACACTAGTTATCATTTGCGTGTTCGAAAACCTTATACTCCTTCATGAGTTAGAAACACTAATTATTATTTGTGTCATGGAAACACTAAAACTCCTTTGTGTCAGAAATTCTAATACTTCTCTGTGTTGGAAACACACATACTGTACTCCTTTGTTTTTCAAGGGCACAGTGGATGGGAGGAATAAAGGGTCTGGGTGAACTAGCAGAAGATAAAGGGAAGTCAAAGAGAAACACAGTGGGGAAACTGTTGCTGTTTTCATAGTCTGAAGGAATGGGAGCACACATGAAGCACTAACAAGGGGAACAGCCCTTTCAAGAGCCAAACATTCTTTACATTGATTTCTATTGGTTCGCTCAAGGCTCCGCCTCCAGTTCCAGTCTGGCCTTTACTTCTTTCCATACCACTTCTAACATGCTTGCTTTAATTCTCTACCCTGAAGATGGAGGCAGCAGGTTCCTCCAAACCACTAGTAACACTGCACCAGACTACATATCATCACATCCCAGATAATAAAAATCTTGCACATGATGTCAAAGTTTCCTTGCAATCTTTCAGACCAGTGTATGGCACCCACTTTCTTATGTAACATAATAAAATCTAATTACAGTTAAGGCCACAAGAGATTTACACAGACCAGTCATAACACCATAAGAAATGCAAAATGCTGACAAATGCTGATTATGCATGAAAACAGACCCATACTTCAGTCAGCGATTAGCAGTTAGTTCTAAGTCAGCAGTCATGTGGATGGCTGTCAGCATGGAAGCATAGGAATTTCCATTGCTAAAAGTTGTTACCAAGCAATGACTGGCGAAGTCAGAGCAAAACTGAGAAGATTTAGTGTGTGCTATAGCGATCTCTGGAGTGTCTGTTATAATCATTTGTAGTTACGAGTCACAAGCATTCAATAAATTAAATAATCAATCCAAATCCTGTGTCTAGTCACTAATGCATGAAATTGGTATGAAGGGGTTCTGGTTCAGATGCAACTGGCTCAAGACAGAGACCAGTGACAGCATTTGGGGTCTGTAGGATGAACCCACTTGTTATTGGTCAGAGTAGGAGATAAATAATGAATAATATTCTTCTTGACACAAAGATAATTTTGTAGAAAGAAAGACACAGTCACAATGGAATACATTGCACACAGGCAAAATGTAGAATCAATACCAGGAAATATGAACAAACTAGTTACAAATCTCCTTGTATACTTCCTTTTAGATAGGGATTACTTTCTTTGCTGTTTACTTCACGATTCTGCAGGATTATATATTTAAACTCATATCCTAATAGGACACACTGTACTTTATATTACAGTGTATGAGTGCAATATGCTTTCAGGATCTCCAGATCTACCTAACATGGCTTAATTTGAGAACACACACAAAACTATCCCAGAAGCATGCAATCCTGATTTGTTTTACTTGTCTTTCAAATAATTCAATGTTCAGGTTTAAGGCTATTTCTTCAGCCTTCTGTCTGAACACTGGATGTTGAACTAGTATAATCAATTTACAACTGAATCAGTCCAGGGGCACTGATTCAATCTTCTCATTTTCATTCTGCCTGGCTGAGTAATTACACAATGGTGGAGTATGTTAACTAGTCTCAACACTGATATGCTAGGTTGTTCCACAACCTATCTGTGTGTGTGCGTGCATGCATGTGGGTGAGTAGTGACCTTCTTATAGACTTCTAGTTGCTCAAAAACTGATAACACCTTAAACTTTATGTCTGTTTTTGTAGCCATCAATACAGCTACATACAACACACACACACACATCACTTTACTTTAATGTAACTTCATGAAATTCAACACGTTATGTTCATCATACGTAACCCTGCATAGAGAGCCCATGCTACCAGCTATATGGAAGGAGAATGGCCCTGCCATAGCTCACGTGGTTAGTCGCTGGCTTCCCACTGCAGCGGCCCGGGTTCGAGCCCAGCTCAATTCTTGTGGGATCTGTGGTGGACAAAATGGCGCTGTGGCAGGTTTTCTCCGAGTACTTCAGTTTCCCCTGCCAATCTTCATTCCACAAATTGCTCCAAAATCACCATCATCTATCATCCGGGGCTGGTACACTAGGCCAGTAGTGGCCAACATATCAAGTGTACTCAGTCTCACCCCACTAGTAGTAGTAGTAGTAGTAGTAGTAGTAGTAGTAGTAGTAGTAGTAGTAGTAGTAGTAGTAGTAGTAGTAGTAGTAGTAGTAGTAGTAGTAAATACAAGGATGGACAAGGTCAGAAAGTCACTGGTATTTGTTCCAAACTTTTAAAACTCAGCAAGGCACTGTGCTACAAACTCGGTCATAGATTTTTCAATTTACCTAATCCTTCCAGCTGCACTATGGCCCAGGGATCGACTCAGCCTCTAACAAAAATCAGTACCAGGAATGTTCTTGGGGGTAAAGGGCAGCCAGCATGCAAGGCTGACAATCTCACCACCATCTGTGAGCCAACTGTCTAGAAAATATGTGTGCCTCGATGTCTCACAACCCTATGGGCCTCCACAGTCTGTTACATAGACAGCTTTATCTCCTTACCTTTACCTACACTCTACTGCGTGCTGCTAAGCACTGTGACATGTTTGATTTATGTGGACCATTACTTTATTTCCCACTCATTTCTGTACATAGAGAACATAATATAATATGACAAAGGCTTATTAAATGGGTATAGGTTCAATATGTGTATTTCAAATTGCCCTTCTTTGGCAGGACACTTTTTACTTAAGAAACAGTCTACATGGGACATAACACATTACCCTTACAGCATTATGTAGAACCAAATGATTTTCACTCTTCTGGTGGGAAACCCCTTTAACATGGATAATTCTAAGCAGGGCCCACAGTATTGTTTTCTGAGACATGATGCCATGTTGAACAGACTGCACAGTCATATCCCAGAAGACAGTACTCATCATAGTCATCTCACATAAGAAATTAAAGTTTACTCACATAATTAAAAGGAAATAGATGGGGAATAAGGATTTAAGCTACATAATATCTGCATACAGCTTTAACAAATGTCACTACTGCATGCACTCTAAGGGTATGGAGTAGATTTTATAAAATCTTTGGGCGTTCCTTTATTAGGTCTGTGGCAGGAACCAGGAAGGGGAAACAGAATTAATATCCTCCATTGTTATTACATATAATTTCGTGTTACAATGGGAGCAAATTGTGAAGTATTAGTATGCTGCATCAACATAAGTTATGCAGTTGATCACAAATGAAAGAGCAGTCTTATTTCAAGGTATCATGTCTATTCTGCAAGTACTAACAATATTTGGATGAGGATATGTTAGATGTAGCATACTATATAAAGGAGATGATTTACAATTGACTGTTCCTGTTATTTGTAGGTAAGGTACGTAACCCTGTAACAGGCTGTGGAGGCCCATAGGGTTGTGAGACATCGAGGGTCCCATATTTTCTACATAATCAGCTCATAGATGGCAGTGAGTTTGTCAGCCTTATGAGCCAGCTGCCCTTTACCTGCAGGAATATTCCTGGTATTCATTTCTGTTAGAAGCTGAGTCACCCCCAGGGCCGTAGTGCAGCTGGAAAAATTAGGTCAATTGAAAAAATCCACCTCATGGGGATTCGATCCCATAACCTTCCAGCTTGTAGCATAGTGCCTCAACCAACTATGCTACTGCGTGCCCTCCGTTATTCGTGGGAGATGCTGTTAGATTTCAGCCTCAACACCTCACTTGGTAACATATAGAACTGGAAAGGAATATGGGAGAAAGCAGGGGAAGTTCTGAGTATGGAAGCTTTTATAACACATGATGAGACTTCCCACTGAATTCTCAATGGGTGTTACACTAATTTTCACACACATAATTTCCACTTTTATGGGCTTCAGATATGAATAATAGCACAGCTGGGTTAACGGCAAACTCATCTATCAATCTTTCTGCAGAGGAAAATTATGGGAAACAGGCCACAGTTTTCACACGCAGAGGAGTCATACTGTGGCTTTACATCAGATGAACTGGTACAAGTGAAATGAAGTGCAGAAGGACACACAAATATTTTCATATGAACAAGACATAACAGACAGACAACAGACTTATTTACCTGTGCTCCTGAGATGATAGCTCCCAGAATGTGAACAAGTTCTGTGCTCAGTTGAGGATACTGCTCAATGAGCGGTGTCTGGAAACAATCTGGCGGGTGAGAATAAAACCAAATGACAAAGTAACGCAATATGCACTGTACACACAGCCACACAATATTGTGATGATCATGACATCACTACATGTCTGCAAAAGCAAGGTCTTAGCTTCAGTTACTGTTCATTAATACTGCAAGAATGCATCAAAAGAAGACAGAAGATACAAAGAAAATGAATTAGAAATCCTTCAATTCATCTTCATATTTTTATTGTTACGACACCTGTATTTATTCCTGACTAACTGTGTGAGGCTGTGGCAAGATACACAAGGTCCATAACTTTATGACATACAGTAAAACTTGGTTATAGCAACATCGGTTTCTGCGACATCTTGTCTATTGCGTCAAATATTCAATGGTACGAACTAATTCCTCATAAAGCAACTGTTTTTACACCTTGCTTAGTACGACATGCACAAATGCATCAACCTCGCATGTAACGTCATATTCATTCCTGAATTCCTCTGATATCGTGGGAAAGTTTGATGTGTCTGCCCACCCTCACTTTCTCTACTTGCTGACGTGACTGTCCTGGAAGAATACGACCGCGGGCTGCAAGAGGAGCGTGGGTTTTATGCGAAAACAAGGGTGTGGGGTGGGACTGCGTGAATAGTGCAAGAGGACGTGGCAGGTTGTTAACTACATTCCTTTCCTAGAATCTTGTCTAACAGGACCTCACATTATCTACTTACCCTATAGTGTTCCTGCCTAAATGCAGAGAAGTGCAGTAGCAAAAACATGGCAATGAAAAGGAAAGTTTTAAGCACTGAAGAGAAAGTTAAAGTGATTCGTGAAATATTGTTTGTATTGTCAGTGAAAAGCGCTGTAATATGTCTTTGATATTACACATTTGGGCAATTCCACGTTAATGTTACGTTAGTCTGTACTTAACTACGTATTTCACTAAAAAATGCAACATTTTAACTCAGTTTTTGGTAGATTTTTACGTGACTAACATGAGGCTACTGCGTAAGTGCCCATTTTGGTTACAACGACATTCGTTTATAACGACACTATTTTTAGGTCCCTTTGATGATGTTATAACCAAGTTCTACTGTATTTCCAAAGAAAGGAACCAGTCAAGACCACTGGGGTGACCTAGTAATAGATGGGAGACTAATATTAAAATGGATCTTAAAGACACAGGATTAGAGGGTGTGCAACTGATCCATCTGTCTCAGGGTAGGGACCAGTGGTAGGCTCTTATGAACACGGTTACAAATGTCTGCGTTCTATAATGGAGGGGGGGGCATTTCCTAACCAGTTGAGCAACTTCTGGTTTCTCTAGAAGATAGCTGCTCCTTTGAGCTGGTAGCCAAGATCTGGAGGTCTGACCCAGATCTACCTTCTACCACCTTCTGTGCCAGTGCATTATCAGATATAGTCAGTATGTAGAAGTAATACAAGAGGAGGCAGCATCAAACTTAACAGTAACATGATCAGGTCAGCTCTATGGCACAGAATTTGTAGTTCTCAGAGCAGTGGTTATGAAGAGGTCTATCTCCTGGGATATAGTGAAGTGTACTCCATTCACAGCCAATCAACATTTCTGATGAACATATCTGTCTTCAAGGTCAAAGAATAAGTCAAGCAAGAAACCAGCACAAAGCAGGTAGCAACATCCTCAGAAACACTGATTGACTTTCAGCAAATTACATGGGGTTATATCCAGGGCTTGAGGTGGGGCGGGATGGCATCCCGGTTCTTTTCTAAATGATTTTAATTGTTTCTTGCATCCTGTTGTGTATTTAATCAACATTAGAGTCAATTTACCGACCACACAACATATTTTTTATTACTATCACACTACATGTTTCGACCTCAAGAGGTCATCCTCAGGTGCACGAACACAGTACAATTACACGCAATCACATTTGTCTTCTCACTTATTCCATCCTGTATCTTATTCAGGCCCACGCTCAATAATATACCAAGCTCCTCTCACAAAACACAAGTCAAAACACTACTCTAAATGTCAAAAGTTAAAATTTAAAAATTTAAAATTTTAAATTTGTGAATCGAACTTCAATTCAGATCACTAGTTATGCTTACTTTCACTTGTCACTCTGTCTCTTCCTACTTATGCTTATCACTGCGTCAAGTTCACTTTAACTAGTTTAATTATATTATAGGTTAAAAGTTCATGAATTAAATTACAATTTTATTATATTGATCCCACTTTTCACTTTTGGAGGTCTCGCTGTTCTTCCGCGTCCTCTGATGTTGCTGGACCTGTTACGGTCCTTGTCGTGATGAGTAGCCATCNAAAGTAAGCATAACTAGTGATCTGAATTGAAGTTCAATTCACAAATTTAAAATTTTAAATTTTTAAATTTTAACTTTTGACGTTTATAGTAGTGTTTTGACTTGTGTTTTGTGAGAGGAGCTTGGTATATTATTGAGCGTGGGCCTGAATAAGATACAGGATCGAATAAGTGAGAAGACAAATGTGATTGCGTGTAATTGTACTGTGTTCGTGCACCTGAGGATGACCTCTTGAGGTCAAAACATGTAGTGTGATAGTAATAAAAATATGTTGTGTGGTCGGTAAATTGACTCTATGGCACAAGAGGTCAGCCAGTGATGTCAATCGGCCTCCTCTAGACGAAATATTGTGGATGACACAGCAGGAGGTCGACCTAATGGGAACTGTGGTTGGGAGCAACACATTACACCATGTTCCAGCATGTTGCGCATAAGGGTAAGACGAAAGTCCCTATGTGACAGTTTCGCACCACAGGATGATAGCAGGATGAAACTGTTCAGAATCGTCAGATCCAGTAAATGGAAGACGCTTGTTTGGCAGCAATAAGGGTTTTCCAAAGAAAGAAGGGGGCAGGCAATTTTCCTTTGTATCAACTTCCGCCAAATACCCTGAATAAGCTGAGAAACTTGTGCAGATAGAAATATATAGGCTTATGGCCAGCACACTTTTATGGCATGGGGTTTCTGCTAACAAGCCCAAGTGTTACAAACAGGAAAGATTTTATACTTCAGAACTGTTATGTGTATGATTGGAAAAATTTTATATTGCAGAACTGCTGTGTGAAGAATTTTTTAGTTAATTCCATTCATTTATCACAAAAATTGTATTAGATAGAGCAATTCCAAATACAACGCTCAAGCACTCTAAGTGGAACTGGCATTTAAACGTAGAGCAGAAATGTGGATTTAAACCCCTGCAAGCAGCGGGCATTTAAATAAACCCCGGTCAGCCAGCTTTAACTGCGTTTCAAAACTCCGGCGGTTAAAGGTTAAAGAAAGATTCATTTTCGTATTCTTAAGACTGATAATAAATTATACAATGTCGGAAACAGTTTGTCCTTCTCTTGCCTTGCATCCCATCCCATCCCAATGCGGAGGTGGCCTGTCTCCAACAGAACAGTTGTTTATAACAAAATTTTAAGTTTTTCTATTGTTGATGTCACGTCTGAATTCTTAGTTATTTTATTGAAAATGAAAACACAATATCTTGGCAGAAAATGAGGTACACATTTCCTACTCCATCCTACTTCATTGGACAGAAACAAATTTGGTGTTGAAATAGCACAGTCGGCAAACTACAAATACAGTTATGATGGGTACAGGCTGTACTCTCACATCCAGTGATACATATATAAACTTGTAGAATAATGTGAGAACCCATCCCATTTAAGCGATGGGTCAGACATTTACAGTAAATAATCACAAAAGTTTCTATTGTTGATGACACGTCCCAGCCATAAGGACACACATATTTTATTCTATTCCAACCAATGGGAATTTAGCCAGAAATTTTAGTGGGGGGGGGGGTCCTTGGGTTGATCCTTGCTTCAATGACAGAAACTGTACAAAATGTTATTTTAGTTCAGCATCAGTTTTCATTTATCGGTGAAAATGGAGAAATGAATAATTCGCAGTAAGAAACCCAAGTTAAGTGAAAGTGGCAGTAATGAACCGTGTGCAACTGTAAGTAAAAGTGAAACAATTGTAAGTTCCATCCACTGCAACGAAGATGAAACCACCGAATGTGTGAATACAGCTGCAATAGATAACAGCGTGACTCAAAATCAGGTGCATGAAAATGACGTTAATTATTTCCCTAATTACTGGACACAAGATCAATGGCTAGAAAAATTGAAAATATACGAGTGGTTGACAATTAGTAAACAAGGGCTAGGCTGTACAACATGTAAATCAGTGGGAACTCTAGGGCCTGCAAAAACACAAGGTTTGAAATTATCTAGTGAGTGGTGTGAAGGTAGGGTCAAGGAATATGCTGAAACAAAAGAGAAGAAACAACAGTCGATTAGGAAGAAATTGTCTTGTCATAAACTATCGGCAGCTCATGTTAAAGCTAGTGGCATTTTATGCCTTGCTAAAAAAGAAACAATTGAATGTCTGAATGTTAAAACACAAGAAAAACAATACGTTACAACTTGTCGCATATTTAGGACAGCTTATCAAATAGTGAAAGTGAACCGTCCCATGACAGATTTAGCAGCTTTGATTGATTTACAAGAACTAAATGGTTTAGCTATGGGGCGTATCTTGCAGTCTAATCATGCGTGCACTGATATTTGTGATCATATACAGATGAGATGAGAAAGAAACTTGTTAAATATATTATTGATAATGATCCTAAGATAGGTTTCATGATCGATGAGACTTCTACTCAAAGTAAAAAAGAAGTTCTTGTAATCTGTTTACGTTGCAAACTGCCTGATTCCATGGATGCAAGTAGTTATTTTTTTGATATAGTGGAATTAGAAAATACTACAGCTGCAACGATCAGGAACGCCTTTCTCAACAATATCAAGAGTAACGGATTTCACGGTGACTTTTTATCACGAAACTGGATTTCATTTGCTTGTGATGGGGCCTCTAATTTACTTGGAAGGCATGCAGGTGCACTTTTGCTCCAAATGTATCAATTGATTGTTTGGCATTGTAGTAATCATCGATTAGAAATAGCAGTGAATGATACAGTACGGGAAATGTCAACAGTGTGCCACATGCAATCATTTTTTGATAAACTCTATTCCATTTACAGCGCGTCTCCAAAGAACAAATGTGATATATATGGACAAAATAATATTGTAAACAAATGTGAATTAGAAACTGTTGCTGCACAACTGAGTATGAGATTAAATACCATAGGACGAGTGTTAGGAACGACACGTTGGGTATCGTCTAGTGCGCGGTCTGTGAAAGCCATATGGAATAATTACCCTGCTCTTTATAAGCATTTTTACAATGCGTCTGTAGACCCAAAACGCACGGGAAGGGAGAGTTCAATATTCTGGATTGAAAAGAAAACTAAGCGACGTAAACTTTGTTCTAAATATGGGGCTTCTGTTCGATGCTTTAACAGAACTTGAACACCTGTCTTTAAAATTACAAGAAAAGAAAATCATATTGCCTGAAGCACATCATTTAGTTCTTGTTAAGTATCACATCTTTCAGTCCATGGCAAATAATCCAGGTGAATATTATTCTGAAGTTCTAACGGCTGCTGATAAATTAGAATTTAAAGGAGTTAGCTTAGAACATGGAAAAGTGCAGATTAGTGAACAACAATTCTTTCAGAAATTAAGTGACAATATAAACACCCGAATGTTCACCACTAGAGCTTCACACAAATTGACTGGAAGTAGTAACACAACATGGTCAAACAGGGACAAATACAGTCAGTTACTGGACAACTTGAAAATAATGGATAAGGCTAAGTGGGTAAAATGTCAAGATCCATGTTTTGCTGATAAAGAGATTATGGAACTCGATGAGTCATTTATGATGTGTAAGAAAACTTCAGTTCATGGATTCCATGAATATTACATGAATATAATGAATGACGACATGTATCCTGATGAACTAAAGCCGTTGATTGCAGCTGCAAATACTATTATTATTTCAACTGCAGAGTGTGAGCATGCATTCAGCAACATGAACAACATCATATCAACCATCTGAAGCTCGATGCTTTTAAAAACAGCATCTAGTTTAATGTTTATTTCATCAGTGGGACCCCCTCTTAGTGCTTTCGATGCAGAATATTATGTAAAACAATGGCTAAAGAAAGGACGTTGACATGCAGATTACAAGCCTTGTGCAGCCCTCGCAGATAGAAGATCAGTGACTTCAGAAAGCAATGAAAACATCTGGAAAATATTCTAAAGATAAGTACTCGTAATGCATGTGTGACTTTATTTTAACGCATGCCATTTAAACTACTGTAATATGTTCGTAGGTCTTAGATGGAACACAGATTATATACATCACTCGGTATATTTTCATAATTTATGTCTATGAATTAAAAGGGGAAAACCATTCTGGTTCTATTTTCATTCCACCTCAAGCACTGGTTATATCCCAGAAGATTGTACTCTTCAGTTCTAAAGGGGTCTAAAAATATTACATTGCAATATTAGCATCCTGTCGCAGTTGGCACTAGAAATTATTTGCAGTTGTTCACCGTATACCAGGCAACATTACACTTAAAATTACTGGGTTGCGGGAGTTGCTCTGTTGTCTGGTAATCAAGAGTTTCAGAAACAGTATCCATTTTGTCCTCAGGAAAAAAGTGTGGAGCCACCCACTAGTGAGTTCATTGTAAAAACATTATCTCATTCACTGGACTGGTGACTGAGATATTCTCCTTCTCACAGACCCAATCAAGTAGGTACCTCCCCACCGCCATGACAACTATCAACACAGAGCCACTTTCTGAAACCTCGAGTCCCATTCACAATACTAGATGATGTATAGAGTCCGCAAATCCAGTGATCCTGAGTGTCATATGATCAGGGAATAACTCCTGCCATGAGCACAGATTTCTTTCTTTACTGCTACTGCAGCCAGAACATCCTCCTGTCAAATAATGGTACAAAAACATGAAGACAAATGCAGAAATCTGATGTATGTTCTGTGCATGACAGTGGAGATACAGTAGTTCTTTGACAGGTATGCACATCTAGTGCTTCAGAATTTCTTTGAAAATCTGGCAGTCAAATATTTTAGTCTCACCTTGCTCTGACCCCTGCTCAGCGTGCAAGATTAATTTCTTCCTGCTTGTTATACTACTTGTCCTAAAGGCATGCCATGCCAGACATAACTTGGAAAAGACCCAAATTTAAAAGAGAGATTAAAATATTATTGTCTAATTATTATGATCATCACTCCTAAGAATACTGTTCACCATTTCCTCTGTGTTACAAGTAAATGAATGATATTACCAGACTCCAAAAGCCAATTTCAGTTTGCTGAGTGACAAATTAGTTGCCAGTTAAAATTTTTTTCTCTTACCACCGTTGATCTGGTAACCATATTTTTCAACCCGTGCATATATAAAAGTAAATCAAACAGTGCACATGTTGTCTGCAGCTATGATGCACTTACCTTCATGTTTACCTGCTTTTAAATTGCCTGTCATATCATTATTTCAGCACTCAAGACACAAATCTACTGCATAGCTGAATCACAGGTCCACAACTTAAACACTTGACTGATGATATGGTGTTATCTTTGGTGAAACTGATTTGAGGTTTCAGGATAAGATATGTAACAATATGAACCCTGATCTTCAGAGTTTACCCCAGAAGAATGAAGGAAACACATTTTTACTGATGTAAACATTTTATCGGAGATTATATGTGGAGGAGTTTGTGTAGTTGAGTTGGTGTAGCAATGGGCCAGAGCTGGACCACCAGGATTTGATTCCCAGCAGGGTCAAAATTTTTGTCTTCTCCACAGCCTCCTATCAAATGGGTACAAGGGACTCTTTCCCTGTGAGTAAAGCAGCCTGGACTTGAAGCTGACCACTCACCTACATTTAATGCTGAGGTCAAGAATGATGGAGCTATAACAACCACTTCCCCATGTCTTCATGGCATGCTGCTTAATTAATGAAGAACAGGGATAATTTTATCTTTTCTTTTAAATGATGCAGTTAAAATCACTTTATTTAACAGGTGATAAGCTCCAACCCCCAAAGGTAGCGAATCTGTACTAACCATATATGAATGGCACAACCTCCACATGTAAGAGAGCAGGCTGAAATGGCAAGTTCTCAAAGTCCACAGGATTCCCTGCCAGGAAATGCCTCCAAGTGAAATACGGATCATACAGGCACTCCAGAAAGTGACAGAAGTTAATGAAGAATGAAGGACCAGCATCTCCAAATTCTGCAGTATGCTCCACCAACTGCAATCACAACATTATACCGGCTACAGTGGACTGCGAGCCCCCCCAAAAGCACAATTTTATTCATGAAGGTAACTCAAAAATTAAAGGCAGTTTTACAGTACACGTTTTAGCAAAAATACTCATACAGTTGTGAAATTTTAGTTCTTATGACTGTGGATATGAAACATACTGTTTTTTGGGACATAATGCTTGTGTAGTCTAGTAACAGGTATCAATGTTTCACAAGAATCTGCTGGATCCATTTTCAGAACACCTTTCCACCAGACTACATGATGTCACATCCCAGAAGACAGTGAACTCCAATCACACAGCTATCACATGTATCTTATCTTTCTATGTAATCACACTTTAATCTTCAATGTATTTGATCCACTAATCCATAGCCCTCTGGACTGCATCAGAACAAAGTGTTCCAGATGACTTCGAGCTGGTACGGCATCATATTCTTCTATTATAACAGATGTTCATTCCAAATGCAGTTTTGTGGCGCTCGTTATTTGGTTGTCCAAGACAGATAACATCTGCTCCTTAACTTCAACACATGCTACCCTTCATAGCCGCTCAGAATGGGCATCAGCACCACAGCTTGTCCGTCTCTTCTGGATGTTCTGACTGACTTCTACACTTTCCTCTGACTAATACCATCACACTGAACCGTCCTCTTCCGTAAACTTCACTTGTTTTCACACCCTCTGATGACAAAAATCAGGTCACAGATCACTGTTGTTCTTTGATGCATTCTATCCATGTAGCAGTGTAACAATATTATCACAGCAGAGAGAAAATGAAAAGCCAACTGAGTGCAAATGAGGAAAAGTTCATCCATCATCTTTTTCAGTGCTGCCACATAAATTTTGTGATAAACTATAAAACTACCTCTACCTTCCAATTTTCCATCAGGTACACACATGCATGCACACATTAACATTAATTTAATTACATCATACATAAAAAAGTAAATAGTAGGGGTATCCCTGTAACAGGCCATGGAGGCCCATAGGGTTGTGAGATGTTGAGGTTCCCACATTTTCTAGACAATTGGCTCATAGATGGCGGCAAGGTTGTCAGCCTTATGCGCCGGCCGCCCTTTACCCCCAAAAATATTCCAAGAATATTCCTGGTACTCATTTCTGTTAGAGGCTGAGTCAACCTCAGGGCCACAGTGCGGCTGGAAGGATTAGGTCAATTGAAAAAAATCCAATGATCTCATCGGGACTTGAACCCGCAACCTTCCGACTTGTAGAATAGTGCCTCAACCATCTACACTACCACATGAACCTACTTACATTATACATAAATTTTATTTTTAACATTTAGTCAGAATTAATTTTTTCGTCAATTTTCTTACATTTCTCTTACCCTGTACGAGCATTCCCCACCTCACCTGGATTGTGTGCTCAGCCAGACTCCTCAGTGTGCCTCAAGTTTCAAATTTATATCAAACTGTGCCACCAGTAAGATCAGGAAGCACTGGTCTAAAGATACCATTCTGCACGTATTGTCACCAAGCAAAACTCCGTATGAGCAGCGTGACATTATATTCCTACCATACATTCATATATTTAAATCATCTATGATAAATCATCAATATAACATTAAATGTCAGGTTATCACGGCAATAAAAGATTAAAACGTTTGGGGATATGATACCATGCAGTTTGGTATAAACAAACAAATCCTTCACAGAACCTCCTCCTCCATCTTCTGGGCAAAATAACAGAGCCAACTGAAGAAAAATGGCATGTTACATATAAGGGAAGTGAGTGTTGAGAGCAAGACTATTTATGAACCAATGGGAATTAATGCCCTGTCCACAACACAACACATCTAAAGAATCAACCAGACTACATAGTAGCACATCCAAGATGACAACAATCCTATCAATATGATAGTTACAATTTGAGTGACCCACATCATACATTTACATACAGTGTGACACAATAACAGTTATTCTCTCACGCTACAAAATGAAAACTGGGAATCCAGTGCTGAAGAGAATATTTGGACCCAAGAGAGGAGAAGTAACAGGACTGAGAAAACCACATACAGAGGAGCTTCATAATTTGTACTATCCAACAAATAATATTACGATAATCAAATCAAGGAGGATGAAGTGGTCAGGTCATGTAGCAAGCAAGGGACAGAATATAAATGTATTCTAAGCACTGCTGGGAAGACACAAAGTAAAAACATCACTTGTAAGACCTAAACATAGGTTGGAGGATTATACGTACTAATATGAATCTTAAAGAACGGATATGGGACAACACAGACTGGATTCCCATATCTCAGGAGAGGGATCCATGGCAGGTGTGTGTGAACACAGCCATGAATTTCTGGTTTCCATAATAAAAGGCAGAAAATTTCTTGAGAAGCTCACTTATGATGACCAGCTTCTTAAGCAGGACTCTGCACTATGGAGTAGGATTATATATGATTGCTCTCACAAGTCTGGCACACATGTTAATACCACACTCAATTCCTATGAAATACACATGTTGAGAAATTAGTACCTGGTGGATTATAGTGGCAGCAATGCCGACAGTCTCGCTAACATAATTACAGGAAGCAATAAATGGAATGTTGTCAAAGTTGCGACAGATAATAATCAGACATTGCACCAGCAACTCCACTTCCTTCAGTGACTTGGAATTGAGAGATTCCTGCAAGCAAAGAACAGAAATGTGTAACAATGCAAAAGTAAACTAGTAAGTCATACCACTATTTAGCCTAAAAATCCTTATTATGATCCTGTGTAAGGTTATAATAACAGTTTGGTGACAGAGGGCTGCAAATGCTGATTGTGGATTATATTAATTCTGCCTACAGGCAGATCTGCCAAAAATAGTGTCTCTGCCATCAGCTGTTACCATTTTCACGGAGAATGCTTATTTAGAAAAGCTTCTTGAAACCTGCATTTTGAATTTTTTTTTCTTACTGTTGAGTGTTATGAAAAAGCTGGGATAGCCCAGTTGGTATAGAGACTGGCTACTGGCTGGACAACAGAGGGTTCAGAGTTAAAGTCCCAGTAGAGTCAAGAATTTTCTCTCCTCCACCATGTTCAGACCAGTTCTGGGGCACACTAAGTTCACCCACACTGGGGAGTTCTTTCCCCAGAGGTAAAGTGGCCATGGCGTGAAGCTGACCACTCTCCTCCAAATAGTGCTGAGGTCAAGAAACATGCATCTATACAACCACTCACCCATATGCCTTCTTGGTGTAGTGCTTACTTAGTTAAGCACAGGGACCACTTTACATTTTTTATTGGATGTTATGATCAAATTGTATGTGGAGCACCTAATCAAGAATAAAAGACGTCCACGCTGAATACACAGAATGGATATATACCTTTGTACAAAAAAAATGTGACAGAATTTCTGTGTGCAAAAAATATGGGGGTATAAAGTAAAACTGACCCGTAGTTGTGGACATACAAATGTGGATAAAATGTCTGGGAGGGGGAGAAGGAAAAGTAAAAGAAAAAAAAATGTTCACAGAACAGAAAAAGTGAATGAAACATCCTGAAAGCTATCCTTTCACAGGCAACACGTTAGCTTCCCCCCCCCCATCTTGATGTGTGTGCTCCTCAGCTACATCTGAGTACAATGCACTGCTCAGCACTCCAAATTTCTGTCACAAAGCCAGCCACACCAAGAGATATTTTTTGGTGTTTCTTCAGCCCGTCCAAGCCATTAATCTCTGTTTTCTAGACCAGAGACACTATTTCCTTGAAAAGCTCCTCAATTATCCTCACAAAGGGGAGTGGACCCCATTCCAGACCCACTACTTCTCAGGAAATCTTGTTGAATTGAATTGAATTTATTTGCATTCCATAGACCCTAAGTAGGTTAATACCTCTGGATATGGAACAAGTCAAAATAATACCTACTGGTACAAGTAATTTTATCTTAAACTAATATAGCTTAATTCTACATTATTCTCCATTTACATTGAGGTATTCGTCTACAGAGTAGAAGGAATGAGCATGCAGATATTTCTTTAGCTCTGATTTAAAATGTTTAGTAACATTTCTCAAGTTTTTGATACTTTGTGGGAGACTATTGTACACTTTTATGCCATAAAAGTAGCGCCAGGAATCGAACCTGGAATCTCTGGATCTGTAGCCAGGTTCTCTGACCACTAGACCACAGAGGCAGTCATATTCTAAGATACTACTTTAAATCAATCTGTCATGAGACTGTTAAGTAAAATACTTTACTCCATTTGTTAATATAACAATCAGTTGGTTCCTTAATGATGATGTTTCAGTTGCATGTCATACAGAGTCAAATGTTACAATGAGTGTGAATGATGAAATGTAAAGGATGAGGAAGCAAGCGGTGGTTGTCTATTATAAATGAATATTCAGCATTGCATGAAGGGACTAAACCATAAGAAATCTCAGTCTGGGTATCCACTATGTAGATCATCACTTGAATGCAGTATCTCCTGAATACAAAACAAAGGGTTAAATGTTAATGTTTGTATAACTGTAGCATAACTGTAGTGAGTTATATATATACTACATGCTAAGCTACATGAGTAGTTTAGCCTATCAACAGATGGCAGAAAATGTGTCATATTCAGATAAGGAACAATTTCAACTGAGGTGCAGTGTTCAATCTCACATGCTTCTTCTAACAGCATCAGACAACATATGCTGCATACAGGAACAACTAAGAAAAGTTGTGTTCTATTTAGCACGCATTTCCTGCTCAGTATTTGTTCTTCTATTATACAGCGAGTACACATAAAACAATGAACATTCTGCCTGCACCAGAAAAATGTCTACATTCTAGCCCTACAATGAGGTAACCATACTTTTTTTGGTGCATACTGCAGGAAAAATATACAAGACTTTTTTGTTTTTGTGGTGGGAAAAGATTCTTATTCTGGTCTTATGAGTTACGACACAGTGTCTGGTAGGTGGACATTAATACTTTGACGAAAATACTCTCTTCATCTTAGTCCACACTTACGATGGAGCAGCACACTGTTGTCTTACAGCCACATAAATTTGGAAGGCTAAGAAATAATCTCATTACACTGTAATCTCAATGTGATTTGCATTACCAATATTCTCTGCATGCCCATGCAAGTTTCTACGAACAGCTTGTATACAGGTTATTAATAGCTAACACCACCTTCTCTGTTTCCTCTTTCGCAAGGTACATGAACTTTCCAATAGCTGGCAGCAGTTCCTCTGGTAATCTGGACAGAAGAGGGCCTGAATCATGTTTCACTGCCAACCAATCAGGTATCCTGCTCCAATCCAAATCCAACTGTGATTTCCATATCGAGACAAACCCCATCACAAACTGCCGGAAGAAATGCTCCTCATTCTGAGAAACAAACAGATGGCAACAGAGTACAATAACATGATATGAAATGACAGCTATAACTGGCAAGTCAAGGTTTGATACCTGGAAGAGGCAAGCAATTTTCCTTTTCAACAGTATCTAGACTGGATCTAAGACCCACAAATCCTACAATCCAATGGGTACTGACGGTCTCTTTCCCTGGGGTAAAGCGGCCAAGGCACGAAGGTGACCACTCAAGCCCAACTAGTGCTGAGGTTAACAATACACATAGCTATACCTCCATTCCCAAACATTTTTTCAAGACATGTTGCTGAGCTAAACAAAATGACAATCTTAACCTTACCTTCACACAGCAAGAAATATGGACTACATGCAACAGCAACTTATTTCCCATGTTCCTTCCTCAGATAACAAACATATCAGACTTCACATTTTAGCATACTTCTGATGATCAATATACTGCAGAATGCTAATCGGCTATGTTACATTAAACTATCTTATTAATGGAAAAGACTGAGACTCCCCAGCACAAATTACAAAAATGTAAAACTAAACTAAATTAATGTGCACAAAAATAATACAGAGAAGAAGAGCATTAAACCTCCAACAGTATATTTACATCTGATATTCCACTCAGTTACACAAATTATCCAATAATGAATGACTCCAGCTAATGCAGTTCAAACAGTCTAGTTTCAATTACATACGGGGTAAGAGAATTTACACAAAGCATTTCATAATTTCTGAGATGCATAATGGGACACCAGGAGGCTACGATTCTAATTTTAATTTGCGAAGATGAAAGAAAAAAAGACATTCGTCCTGTGTTACATTATACAGCGCGAAAAAAATGTAAAAACAATTTAATTAATAATTCATCTTAGACGGCATTAAAACGGCTGCGATATGTAAAGCTTTACACACTTAATAAAAAAAATACGTTAAGTAGTAAATGTGCATTTCCTGACATAAGTTACGCCAAAACTTTACATTTCCTACTTAATAAAAAATTGCATTAAGTAGTAAATGTGCATTTCCTGACATCAGTTACGCCCACTCGTGTTTACCTTGGTTGTGTACTGAACCCATAAATGGTAAATGTGTTTTTTAGATTCCATGTTATATAAAGCACCAGTCTGAGTAATAAAACATTCTTATGACACTTCTGCTTAAAACCTTAGTTTCATCAACTTTCATACAAAACACAAATCCAACACAGCTTAATCACATTTGTAACACGAAATTGACAAACACAACAAATGGGTGTGCATATATCATGGGACACACTTGGATCACTTGGATCAGTGCGATCCATTGCTGGCACTCGTACAAGCTGAAAGATCCCTGGACACAACTCCAGATGACAAGAGACGACGCAAAATTGCATATACCCAGCAAAAACAAGAGAAATGTAATTGGCTGAAATAGAAGAAACGAGAAATACATGAAAATTTTAGTTGAAATATCTGAATGGAAAATATCAGTTGCGAAACTAAGCCATGGATGACAGGATGTCGTTTATAAAAGCATATATAAATACAAGTTATTAAAGAAATATGGTGTGGGTATGTGTACTGGATTCCTTTGGCTCGGGATAGCGTCCATTGGCGAGTTCTTGTGCAACCAAGCATTTACCATGAACGTTAAGTAGGCACTTATCAGTGCGGTCTCCTGATACATGCTGTTTCAACAAATAGCCGAATGTGATTTCTACCCGGGGATTCAGGAATTAATTTTGGCAAAAATGGTGGGGGTTAGGCAGGTTTTGTTAAAGTAATTGTTTGTTCGATATGTCAGTTACAAATCCAGAATCCTAATCAGTGAGCAACACAAACATTGAGGAATGGAATATGATGTGCCAGTGTGCCAAGAGTCTAACGCAATGGTCAGTAAATACTTCCCCTCCCCTTGGGACAGCATGTGAATTCCAAAATGACCATAGGCTGAAAAGTTTCACTAGAACATTTTGTAGCTCAGAAATTGTTAAATAGCAATTCTCGCTGACCGAATACGTTGTACAGTTACACCAAATGGTGATATGTCATAATAGTAACTTTATTAATGATTAATTTTGGCAGACCAGTGTAAACTAATTTGTGTTCAGAAGGCAAACATTAAAACGAATTTGCAGTTGGTCCTAAGCGATCATACAGCGGCTCATATCCAACTGTACATATGGGAAGAACTTCGTGGACAGCCGATAAGGGGTGGTCCTTCGGCTTAGGGGTTGGTTGTGCGGCTAACAAATCGTCACAGTAATGAGGACAGCTTCTTATGAAATATTCCATGGAGCCTTGGGCAGATTTTTGGAACAACTTGAGCAAGGGAAAATTGACATGAGATTGACACATGGAACATGTGGAGGAAGCTACATAAAACAGGGGTGGCAGTGATCCAGCAGTCAACTGTACATGCATTTATTCCCTTGAAGACCCAACACATTTAAACTCTTACAGGACCATCATCAGGGGTACACCTCTTGACTAATATTAAGGGCAATCACTCAAGGTTTTTAAATTATTCATGTCATCACAAAATTCTTTTACAATTAAAAAACAAAGCATAATATATTGTCCTGTGATAGCAGTGAATAGAGTTCAATAATGAAAACCTTGATCAAATGTGCCAATTGTTAGTCGTGTTAAAAAAGTATCGAACCTTCTTTTTTCCCGCGTAAACCGATGAAGCACGGGAGGCTCCCTTCGGTGGAGATGTGGAGGGGATATCCATGCGCAGTCGTGAACTTTTCCCAGCCGCAGAAAGCGTCACTGGCAGTCGGACTATGAGTGAGGATGTGTACTGAGCGCTCGTCGGAGTCCAGTAAGGTGTAAAATGACGGCACAACATGAGCAGCGATATTGCATCAAATCTTGCCAAAAGCTTGGCAATACCCAAGTGGAAACCATTCGCAAGATTCAACAGGCTTTCGGGGACGATGCCATGAGCAACTCACGGATAAAGGAGTGGTACAACCGCTTCAAATATGGCCGCACATCAGTGGACAGCGAACGGCGTTCAGGCAGACCCTCAACAAGCCGAAATGAGAATGTAATTGAGCAAGTGCGGACTTTGGTCGTGGAGGACCGTCGTATCACAGTCCGAGAACCTGCGAACGATAGGGGTAAGCATTGGATCGGTACATTGAATTTTGACCGAGGATTTGGGCATGAGGAGAGTGGCAGCTCCATCATGATAACGCACCCGCCCATTCTGCGCATCTGATTTAGACTTTCGTCGCCAAACACAACATCCCTGTAGTTCGTCAGGCTCCCTACTCCGACATGGCTCTGTGTGACTTTCGGCTATTTCCCAATCTGAAAATGCCGCTGAAAGGAACCCGATTTGAGTCAAGAGAAGACATCGTGCGGAATGCGACGGCCCGGCTGATCACCATTACAAAAGACGCGTTCCAGAAGTGTTTCCAACAATGGCGGAAGCGCTGGGAGGTGTGTGTGCATTACCAAGGAGACAACTTTGAAGGGGATTAGGGTTTTGTACCTCCAAATCAGTAAATGTATTTCTGCCGACCAAAGGTTAGATACGTTTTGAACACACTACTTAAGTACCGGTGTCGATACGAAACTTCAGCATAACAAATATCATTGGAACTTTTGTTAAAGGATGAAATCCCTATATATAAATCACTGGGTAACATAAGATGGGATTAAGCTGAAAACATGGAAGGAGGCAGCTGCAGGCTACTCCACCATTCATCAGACTTTGCGTAACTGAATACCTCAGGTACTTGCACATATATTCAGCTCCTGTTCATGCCCTTCTGACAATACCATCAATCCAGGGCTGCTACTTACCCTTCATGCACTTAGGCAGTTGTGTAACCAGCTTAAAATAGCAGTAACCTCAGTTCATTTTGAGGTAGTTCCACAGGATTTGTGGACAAATCAGAATTGAGGCAGGTTTCATC